TGGGTCACCGTGGGAGGGCTGCGTGGGGAGGGGACCGGGATGCTTGGGGTGGCTGCGCCGCATCCCCTTGCCGCCCTGTGCCTCAGTTTCCCACCGTCCTGGTTTTTCCCTTGGGTCATTGATGCAGGTGATGCTGCGGTGGCCGTGCAGCACGTAAATACCTTATCCTGTGGGTGAGCAGCTCCGTGCCAGCCTGGTCCCCAGCTCGGGGAGCTTTTTGGATCACTTTGGGGACATTTTGGAAGTGGTGCCTTGGGCAGCACCTGGTCCCTTCTTGGTGGTGCCAGAGATGCTCACAGGGCCTGGGGAGCATCCTTGGTGGGGGGGGTTGCTCCCTGGGCATCATCCCTGCCCAGCCCTACCCGCTCTTCAGCCGTCCCTTCTCCCTCCAGGTCTCATGGTACCCAGTGACGTGTCCCCCCTGTGAGATTCACGCCCCCCCAACCTTCTGAGAAGATGTCAGGGATGCAGGTAAGCACTGGGCAGGGATGGAGGTGGCCCCAGGGCTGAGGAGGGACGTGGGGACACTTGTCCCTGTCCCCCCATGTCCCTGCAGAAGGCCAGCACTTCAGGGACCTGCGATTTTGTGTGTTGTCCCCATCCCAGTTGAAAAACACCATCTGAGCTCCCGGGGCTGCCCAAATTCCCCCAAACTGCTTCTGGTTTAAGTGAATCCCGTTTGGGGCTGGACCAGAGGGTTGGGAGCCCCACGTGCCCTTGGGACAGGTGGACCTGGGCGGTGGGGACGTGCCCAGCCAGGCTCTGACACTGTCCCCCCTCCCTGGCCAGGCCGTTTGGCCGTCCGGTACAGAATGTATCGCCAAATACAACTTCCACGGTACCGCCGAGCAGGACCTGCCCTTCAGCAAAGGAGACGTCCTCACCATCGTCGCTGTCACGAAGGTAAAGCCATCGCGTCCCCACGGCCCCCCCAGGCTGCCGATTGCCACCGGGGCATCCCTGCATCCCATGATGCGGCGTTTGCCATGCCGCTGGGATCCCCTGGTCCCGCTGAAGTCCCCCGGTGCCGGCAGGGCAGGAATGGGGCCACGCGCTCCGTTAATTAATTCACGGCATCGTTAGTTAAGGTTTCTCCGAAATGTCAGCTTCCCGGGAGGGGGGAGGCTCGCTACCGGGAGTGGGAGAGAAAAAGAGAGGGGGCCCATGGGTCGGGGGTCTCCCCCGCAGCCTGGGGTAGGGGTCATGGTGACATCCACGGGGCCACCAGTATTGGGGTTTGCTGGTCCCAGTGCTGATCTCCACCTTGGCGGCTGTCCCCCACCTACCCCATCCTGCCTGCATCCAGGGGGGGCTCGGGGCCAGCTGCCTGGGAAAGGGGTGCTGCCATCTCAGGGGGGCCACGGACTGGTGGTGACATCCCTGCTGTCCCCACAGGATCCCAACTGGTACAAGGCAAAGAACAAGGTGGGCCGGGAGGGCATCATCCCCGCTAACTACGTGCAGAAGCGGGAAGGAGTGAAAGCTGGGATCAAACTCAGCCTCATGCCGTGAGTATCTGCCGGAGACGCTGCCCGGGGGAATTTGGGGGGAGCATCTCCCCAGTGCGGCCAACTGGAGACCCCCCACCACCCGGTGGAAAGGCAGAAAGGGGCCGGGGAAAGCTCTGAGCACCTTTGGAGCTGCCTGCGGAGCCGGGAAAGTGATGGATGCGGTTGGGCTGCATTTCGACATGGGGCTTTTACCCAAAATTGGGGGTGTAAAGGCTGCTGGGGGGTCAGAACGGGGTCTCTGCAGGAGGGGCAGGAGGTGGGCAAGCAAATGGGTGGGTGGATGGAGGGATGGAGGGATGCATGGATGGATAGAGGGATGGATGATGGATGGATGGATGATGGATGGATGATGGATGGATGGGGACAGCACTTCCCTAGTCCTCCACCTGCCTTCTGGCCCCATCACAGGTGGTTCCATGGGAAGATCACACGGGAGCAGGCGGAGCGGCTGCTGTACCCCCCCGAGACGGGGCTTTTCCTGGTGCGGGAGAGTACCAACTACCCCGGGGACTACACGCTGTGCGTCAGCTGCGAGGGCAAGGTGGAGCACTACCGCATCATCTACTCCTCCAGCAAGCTCAGCATTGATGAGGAGGTCTACTTCGAGAACCTCATGCAGCTGGTGGAGGTGAGGGCGCAACCCCCCCAGGGGACGACGGGAGC